ATATCGACGGTGAAACTACCAAACCACGTATCTCGTTTGCGGTGTTTAAAAATCTACGCTCGCATTTTATTTTTTTGAAGTAGACCAAATCAATATCATTCCTTGAAATTTTCACAGAATTTTCACCGCACAAAGAGGAAAAATCACAGAAATTTTCAAGACTGGACGTTAAGTAATTTTTCATTTAAAAAAATGATGTATGACAGGAAGTCTGCGACGTCGCGAACCGAGATACGTGGTTTGGTAGTTTCACCGTCGATATATCTTTTGATAAAAAATGCGGGTTTAACGGGTATGCGGTCAAATTAATGAAGAAAAGTCCACATTTTTTGCTAAAACAGGGCCTCGAACCCATGCTTAGGCCGGTATTACACCAGAAAAAGGCCGAAAATGAGCAAACCATGATGCGTTCCGGAAAATATAGACCTTCAATGAGTAAAAAATTGCACAGTTGAAGAAATAATGCGGGGCGAGCCTAAATAAGATCCTTATCGATGCCCCTCCTTTTTTGACAATTTGATTCGTCAGACCCTCAAGCTTTTTCTCAAAACAAACAACAATGATTAACTTACCTCTTTTCAAAATTAAAAATTAGTCATGAACAATATCGCAAACGCGCTCTCCTAGTCTCACGCAAACGCGAGACCTGCTATTAATAACAAATCAATTTCATTGCTCCTCCTGGTTCTGAACTTCTGACGCCACGAAAATATTCATCCAAATCGGATTCTGAAGTGCATTTTTTCTGTTAAAAAAGTGTAGCAGGGCTCTTACCGCTGCATTCCGCAGTCATATCACGTGTAAATCGGATGAACCACCATATCATCCCAATCACTCCCCATAATGGAAAGTGTAATCGTATTTACGAGGCCCTAGCGCTTGCCTGCATTTACCGAACGATCATACAATTTCATGTTTTACTCGCAGTTTCCGACTCCCGAGTAAGTAGAGGTTGAACGAGGTTGTGCTGGAAAAAAGTGCATCCAATGCATATTTAAGTAACGGATAGGCAATCAGTCGCACAAGCTACACTTTTAGCACGGAAAAAGATCAGGCTTCACCTTCCCTTCATTACGGCCGCTTCGTGCGCCTAACCACCAAGTAGTAATATAATTTTTGTTCTTAACATGCGAGGCATATTAATCAAGAGTACGTGATCTTAATAGACTGAATGTTCAGTTTTTCTTGATCTACACAAACTGCCTACAATAAACATATTCCCCATGGTGGACAAGGTGCAAATAATCCAAAGGAAAAATGTCAACGAAAACATCAATCCTTCAACAGCTATAAAATGCGCAGTATACGCAGTTACATGAATTCAAATTTTCTTTAAAATATTTTATTTCCTTCTGTTTTTTTTACATTATTTAAGAATAACTAGGTAAAAAGAAAAAGACGATTAAGATGAAACCATAATCTTTATTTTTCAAGGTATTAATGACCTAGGTACGTTTTGTTAAAGCACCTGTAAATAAACGGTATTAATCAACCAATTCCAAAAACATTATCCGTCATTTGACATTGACTGAGTGGTGATTAAAATGTGTCTAAATGATTGAAATTGCATTATTCTTACATATAAGCTTAAACTTCCTTTTTGAATTATGAACGAATGGCGCTTACTCTACACATCCTGTAAGTACATTCCGTGTCTCCGTGTGATATTTCGTCATCAAATGCTCTGACTCATAGACGGTGAAACTGCCAAACCACGTATCTCGGTTTGCGGCGTTGTAGACTTCCTGTCAAATTGTATTTTTTAAATGGAAAACTACTCGACGGCAATGTTTGAAAACTTCCATGTTTCTTTTCTCTTTACGCGAAGAAAACTCTGTAAAAAGTTTAAGAACTGACATCGATCTATGCTCCTTCACAAAACTAAAATGGGAGCGGAGATTTTTAAACACCGCAAACGAGATACGTGGTCTGACAGTTTCACCGTCGTTATGTTTTTTTATATGCTTATTTTTTAAAATATAATAATGATGAAATCAATAAATTTGTTCATCTTCATCTTTCAGACTGCGTATGCAATCCAGACGCAAAACGTTTGTACGATGATCTGCTCTCCAACTACAACAAACTCGTCCGTCCAGTTGTCAATGTCACAGACGCTCTCACAGTCAAGATTAAGCTGAAACTTTCCCAACTTATCGATGTCGTGAGTACTTTTATCAAAGATCTTTTTTGCCTTGAAAAATTCTTAGAATTGCCTTTTTCTCTGTATTTCCTCATCAGATCAATCAAGTCGTATCTACAAAATCTCACGTTTTATCAAGTCGTCAATTGTCAAGTTGTCATGTGTCAGTTATTTCTTGTCAGTTGCAAACAGGATTAAGGTTTTCCATTTCGTAAATATTTGATTGTTTTGATCGAGTTGTTAATGCCACCGTTTGACGCGTGATAAGTTATTTAATAGTTCTGGGCAAATGTGACATTCCTCTATGTGTGTCAAACGGAGAAGATTTGATTTTAAGAAACCTCGTATAATAATTTTAACAGTATCTAAAGAGCTTGTTCCGATTGAATGAGAGACGCTTTTTCTCATGAGTGTTCAAATAGCGGAGGATTCTTCACTTCAGTTGATGATACATATTTTGACTCAGGTGTGTGCGGTGAAGTATCATACTGAAGGCGTTTTCGACTGGTGACAACAGTTAGACGTATAGTTCACAACCACGCGTGCATCGTATCAGTGCCGGATTCACCTACCTACTTGCCGCCCATGGGCCGCCTGTATTTTTCCGCCCTCTTCTCATTCGTTTTGAAACATCAATAAAAACCATCGAGTGAACGTGCCGGAGGGGTAGGGGTGCATAAGACGCGTTCATTCGTGATGGACAAATTTTTTGCGAAAGCCCTATGTCAAACTACCAGCAAAATTTCATGGAACTTTGCGCGAAAGTTAAGTTCCGTAAACCTGTCTCTGTGTCGACAAGGTCCCCCATTTGTAAGAAATGAACAAAAAAATTATGAAAGAACAAAAATAAATGTGGTCAAATAATTTTAACTTCCGCCGCCGTGCCGCGCCGCGCTGAACGCACTGCTGTGTTTTGCGCAATGCGTGAAGTATTTCTACAGTCTTGTAGGCGCTATGCGTTTCACGTCGACCGCTGCTGACCGCACTGTTTTTGACGCAATGCGTGAAGTATTCCTACAGTCTTGTAGGCGCTTTGCGTTTCACGTCGAGCGGTGCTGAACGCACAGTGTTTGACGCGCAACGCGAAATTACTGTACTCTCAGGAAATGAGAGATTTTTGTCGCCTTTTCTCGTTTGTATTTTTTTCTGAATCCGATTTGCTTTATACCCTCACTTCAAAAAATCGCTTAATTTGCCGACCCCTAAATTTGCCGCCATGGGCCGCGGCCCATGTTGCCATCCCCTTAATCCGGCCCTGCATCGTATAAGGATTTCATAAACCCGCATCCATCCCGTCATTTCTTTGAAGACGAGTCAGATATCCACCAAGATACAATACATAAGGACGTATTTCTGCCAAACGGAACAATGCGCATTAAGACATGAGCCCTGAGATCCATAAGAATGTGTGCATGGCAGGGCTCACGTCATATGCACATTGTTCCGTTCGGCAGAAATACATCCATTTGTTGTAAATAATGTTTACAGTTTTCATAGAGGTTTTGCCGATTAATTGTGCACAATATACTTCATGATTGGCCGAAAAGCGGAGGATTCTGAACAGGAATTTATGATACAAATATTTTAACTCTGGTGTGAATAGTGAAGTGACCCAGTGTTCTGCCGTGCTAAGAAAACACGCCGTATGTGCATTCTAATGCTGCCAAAGTGCCTCTCAGAAAATATTCATTTTTGAATATTTGTCCTTGAAACTTTCAGATGTTTTCGATTAAAGTGCGAACAAAATTCTCCGAAAAATCAAAGAAAAAATACTTACGAATTTTCTCGAAAATGTGCGTTTTGTCAAGAAAAATTTGGCAACGTCTGAAGGTTCCTACAGCGTTTTTCCTCAGCACGGCAGTGTTGTATCGTCTATTTTCGATTTTTTGGAGAGAGCTGGGTTTCGAAGACTAGAATACTGGAAGCATCCACACAAACCGGCCTTTGTGAGTGTGAGAGAGTAGCTCTTTGGTAGCGCATTATAAGGGATGAAGATTTTACACCCCCGTTTATGAGAGTGGAAACTTTAGATTTACCACTTTTCTTTTCCATGGCGGCGCGGGTGCGGAATATCGTGAGAAAAGAAGAACTTTGGAGGATTGTAGATCGGCCGATTAGGAGGCAAAAACAAACTGAAGCGTCAACCAAGACCCCCTGCTCCCCCCTCAACCCCTACTCTTCCTGCCGCGCGCTACCCTCACATTCATTTACCCGTCTGTTTGGGTTGAGGATAGGGGTTTCGCGTTCACTTTGGTTAATCAAACGTGAAATTCATTGTGCTACTTGTGTGCTCGAGAACTCTAAATTTTTGGCGTCGAAATTGCCCGTGCGTCAGCTCGCTGGCTTCCCGCTCCCCAGCTCCACCGAGTGTTGCCAAATTTAGGAAAAATTCACGAGCAATTACCTCCATTTTATCGTTTCCCTCACGAAAGAT